AGTATTGCCGGCATCTAAGACGGAGGTCCTGGGAGGGGAGTGAACTGTCTCCGGTTGTTTCGCTTTTGTGATGAAGGGATACTGGGTTTGTATTGTTCATGTTGCATGAACTTTGGGCATAGAGTGCTCAATTCCTTAGGATCAGGGGACTCGTGGACATTGTCAGCTATGACGTCTTTACCCTTTTGGTTGAGACCGGAGGGCTCCATTTGAATCATCACCCCTGGTCTTGGATGGCGAAGTGGAGTCATGGTGAGTTGATCTAAGCGGACTGACAGATGTTCCACTTGTTTTGAGAGTTGCTGAAGAAAGGCGAAGACTTGCTTCATTTCGGTCTCCATGTCCGCCACACGAGTTGTCATATCTTTTTCAGCCATTTTTACTTGGCAGGTTGGTATAATTCGTAATTACCTGTTAGAAAAATGGCAACGAATGAATATAAAATCGCATAAATGATCAGTCCATGACTGAGTCTAGTATTGCATCTGTCTATCACGCATTTTTTATTTATAAAAAATATCAGAAGCAAAAAAGTTTTTATTTATATATTCATTACAAACGGCGTCCCCGGGGTTCGAACCCCGGTCGCCTCGGACCACTTTCACTACCGGGTACCACCAGGTCAAAGCACTGGTAGTGTTACCGGGGTGCGTTTTTTTATTTATACACAAATTTTTCCTTTTTTGAAAACGACAAGAAATCGTATGGGAAAACAATGATTTGTAATGTGTTTATAAAAATAAAGGTACAAATTGGAAGTAAGTACTCTGAAAAAATTTTAGTAACTATTTCTTCCAAAACGATTACGGTATTAAATCCACAACTAACCTCGACTAATCATGGACCGACCGGAATATACAAAAATAAATAAATTGCAAAGTGCATGAATAGAAAACTTACTTTACCAGGAACCATGGCAATCACAGAGACATGCGCATGAGGAGTGAGGTTCGATTTCTATTTAGACTGGTTCAGCAAAATGAAATTAAAAGGGTGCCTGACCGTCGCAGCCTCGCGTTGGTGTCAAGTCCTTTTAACCTCGGCCAAATCGAAAGGAATATCTTATAGTCACGCGAATAGCGGCTAAAGATATTTCTTTACGATTTTTTTAGAAATAAATTTCGGAGAAAAGAAAGGCAACCTCTACATCGCGGGCTCGCGTTCGAGGTCGTATCTTTCTTAACACCATCCTAAAATGCCCTATCGCGGCCCAGGTCCGGCAGCGTGGTAGTGTGTGTAACGGTGTAGTGCTAAATCATTAAAGCATGCACAACAAATTATAAACAATCAATTCGAACCTGCAAGCACAAAAAACACCTTAAAGTTAGTATCGTACCTAGAGTCCTTGCTGCCAAAAAAAAATTATTTTGAATAGGATAAAAATTTTTTGGCCTAAGTCCACTTTAAAAAATGCATTTCCCCAGCGGAGTCGCCAGTCTGTCGCGACCGAACTCCCGAGCCCTTTTTTTATCGAACATGCAAAAAAGGGGGGCTCGCCTGGTACGTGCTAAGTCTAGGTTTGGGACTTAACTCGGGCTCTCCCAAGCCCATACCATATCGCGACTTAGGGTTTAAGTTTCTTAACATGCAGGTGATTTATATCGAGGAGTCGCCACTAATCGATTTGGGGTGGGCCGATTAGAAACCCAAATAGGGTGATGGGAGAATCACCCTATTCCTGCGAACCAGAGATTAACTGAATTCGGGGACTTGGTTACACTAGTTGGATAACTAATGCCCTTTCGGTACCTTTTTACCCTGTTCATTTTTTGAAAATATTTGTCAGGCAATTTGGATTGATTTTAGGACCTTTCTCCTAACATGTGAGGTGATCAAGCGAGTGCATAATCAGAAACGATCAGCAGTCAAGAACACAACAATTCATGCAGCCTAAGGTTCTAACCTTAACTAAGTCAGATGACATTCAAAACACAACTCATGCGATTGTATTAAAAACATGCATAATAATACGGCGATAATAAAAATAACATGCAAAATATTAACGCGCAATCTCAGGCTTGTCTAATTTAAATAAGACAATAATATGCATAATAATACAGCAATAAATTAAAAACTTAGATATAACATAATTTAAAAAAAATTAATTTTTTTTTGAAAAGAAAAAAAGCATAATAATACAGAAAAAAAAAATTTAAAATTTTTTTAAATAAAATAAAATAATAATATAATATTAACCGGGTCGGGTCGGATCTGACCCGGGTCAACGGATCCGACCCGGGCGTTGACCCAGGTCGAATCTGCTGATTCGGGTCGGTCGGAACCGACCCAAGTCAATGGATCCGACCCAGGCGTTGACCCGGGTCGGATCTACCGATTCGGGTCGAATCCGACCCGACTCACGTGACCACGGGGGAGAGGGCGCGGCGAAGCTGGGAATTAGCCGACCGCCGGCCGACCCCAAGCGCCGCCCCCAAATCGCCCGACTAGGACTGCCTCTGGGCCGTGCCACTCACCTGAACCACCGTCGGACCACCGTTCGCCGGCCGGCGATGGAACAAAAACCAACCTGGTTGAGGCATTTCGTCGAACGCCTGGCGGGCGCGTGGAAAACGGGGATTTCGACCTCCTCCGGCGATCCGGCCGACTCCGGCCGGCTTGGGTTCGCCTGCGACGGTGAGTAGGGACCGGGACCGACGTCGGTATGGGCCGGGATTCGCACGAAACGGCTGGCGCGAGTCCCAGCCCAACCACGCCGGAAAACAGGGGAAAACAGAGGCGGTTCTCGGCCGGGGGCTCACCGGTTGGCGACGCTTCTGAGGGGCTTACGGCTGGTCTGGGGACGTCGACGACCACTGCTGGTTCTCTTTTGGCTCCGGCGTGATCTCTGTTTGCGCTCTCTCTCTCTCTCTTTTCTCTTTGTGTCTCTCCCTGCTCTGTTTTCTCTCAAAATGGCCGACCGGGGCTGCTTCCGGGGGTTGCCGGTCGGCTTGCTGGTGACAACGAGGCCGGTTAGGACCTGTAAGACCCTCCGAGGCTCCTCTCTCTTCTCGGTTTCTCTCTGATTCTCTCCGGCCTCTCTCGGACTCTCTCTCCGTTTCTCTCCAAATTGGCCGACCGTCTCTCTCTCTCTCTTTCTGTCTTTCATAGCCGCCGCCGACGAGTCTGGGCCCGGCCGCGTCGGCGTGACGATGGCCTGCACCGGTCTACGCCACCCCACGACTTTCGTGGCCATGGCAGTGCCATGGCAAGAGCGTAGTAGAAAGGGGGTCCGATTCACGGGCCAAAGCAGAGGCGAACAGGGGGGAGAGAGAGACTGGGAAACATAGGAGATGACAGGACCGGCAATTAATGCCATCCCGTCACAGCTAGTTTCTCTCGGCCTTCCTCTGGCCAGATAGCGACGGTGAGGAGCGGCGCCGCCGTGCGTCACGCTGCCGTCGGTGAGCAGAGGCGAACAGGGCAGCGAGAGCGACGGGGGAGAAGGAAGGAGAAGGGTTGGGCCGGGCCAGGCCCAGCTGCGGGGGGGAAAGAAGAAAAGAAAAGGAAAACGGGCCGGGCCCGCGCGAAGGGGAAGAAAAGAAAAGGAAAAGGGCCGGGCCCGGGGGAAAAGGGAAAAGAAAAGGGCCCGGCCCGACCCGACTCGATTTTTTTTTTTAAAAACATTCTAATAGACCTTATTAGTATAAAATATGCCTAATTTCTATATGCAATGCATTTAAATAGAAATAATTTTTTGCTTAGGAATTAAGGACATTAATTCCTAAATTTTTGTGTAATTAATTTTGGGCAAATTAAAAATAGGTGTCAACAAAACCCACACACAGTTATCATCAGTGAGATAATCTGGCAGATTTTCCAAGCGTCCTCTCCTTGAAGCTGCACAGCCTGTCTTGCAAGATAACGAATTTGATTCTATCCTCAACCTACTATGTAAGTATTATCCACGGGAGAACTTTCCTCAGCCAAATTAACTGTTTCTTGCTCTACTTTTACATTCACTTGCTCAATCTAAGATTTTAGGAATATATGCTTGTTTAGTACGAAGACCAACTTACTTGATGCTCCAGTCGAGAACCATCAAATGGGACTCTCAAACTCTGCTGGAGATTCCTAAGCCTTTCTTCCTACAAACAAACCAAGATGGTAGATCGACTTAGAAAAGCACTAAAAAACTTTTCTATTAAGAAGACAGACAAAAGAGCATATCTACCATAATAATATTTTAAAGTAATTGGTTCCTCCATAATATAAGCAAACGTCTAGGGAACCATGCATTTACTTTGCATACAACATCTAGTCTTCCATGAATTTCAATGCCGACTACAACAGCTTATCCATGATTTACTAATCCAAGAAGGAATATCCTATTATAATACATCTTTTCTGTTTATGTGTTGAGGGCATTCAGTGTTTATGGTACCAAATATATATTTAAGGACCCGTTTCTTACCCAGTGTAAGACCTTTCCACTACGAATATAGACGGTGGAAGTTTTTGATTTACACAAGTCTATCTTGAAATTAACCTATGTGCACTGTAAACCATGGAAGGTCACTCAGTCTAGAAATGAACATGTATTTTGATCCAAAGTAAGTTTGTGCAAGCAAAATTTCCCGTAAGGACTAAACTGGAACCATTTTGTTTTTCATATTCTCTATTATCAATAAATATACTCCGTTTGAAAAGCTATTATTTTCCTTTCTACAGCACGTGGGGCTGATACAATATTTATTATTTATAACAGCAAGTCTTCCTTTTTATTTTTCATACTTGTGTTTTCTTACATAATTAAAGTCAATGTTCCACTTATCAGTCATCGCCATTCACCACCTAACAATCTATCCCACTTCTTCTTGTTTTTTTTTTCCTTAACCTTCTGGTTTTGTTTTTTGTTTGACTTCCATTTTCTCAGCTAATCCTGAAAAACGACACTCCTTCTCATGCTCTGTTCACGAGCTAGTGTTCTTACTCTAGCAGTCACCGTCTCATAAAGGATCTCTGTATAAAGCTAAGGTAAGCTCTCTCTCTCTCTCTCAGCTGGTTTCATGTAGAAGAGAACTTTCTTTAGATTCTGAAACGTGCCCTCATTGGGTCCCACATACCTTTACGGCTTGATGACATTTGTATGTTCAGTTTTGAGGAGTTTATAAATGTAATTTGGCTATATATCAAGCCGCCTGCCACAGAGATCGCTGTTGGAAGTGATTCACACTGATCGAGTCCGTTTACAGCTACTTCTTACCCTTCATGAGCTCGTGGTCTTGAGATGTGATGTTGAGTGTCTCAAACTTTAAAAACATTCTTGCCATACTGAGGCACTAACTATATTAGGAGTGTCCCAAGCTTGTACGATTCTGTGTGGTACCAGTTTCTGGGCCAGTCTCCAACAGTTGCAGTATGTTTGGATTGAACATGGACTACTAGGTTGAGTTAGAAGACCTGCTTGTGTCATGTCTAAGTTGTGTATTTGTAGATCGGCAAAATAAACATTCCTGAGGAATTTCACACTTCGCATGTTTCTGGCAGGATTTATGAGTGACGATAGGATGGAGGAAAGGCTTCTTGGAACAGAAGCAAAAGACATAAGTAGTCTGACAGGGAAGGTCTGGGCGGAGTCGAAGGAAATATGGAGAGTTACCTTCCCTGCTATGCTGGCCAGAGGGACTTCTTTTGGAATCTTTGTAGTGACGCAAGCATTCATCGGGCATATTGGTGATACAGAGCTCGCCGCTTATGCGCTCATTCAAATCATTGGCATTCGATTTGCTTGCGGAATAATTGTAAGGATTAGTCTCCCCTTTTTTCTTCAATCTATAGTTGACGGACTCCACAATATATTACCTCCGTACTTTGACACAGACCATTTCAGATGTGCTCTGGCAGCTTTTGTTAGAAAATTTCTGATAATAACTAAATCATCTGAGGAATATGGACTAGGGTTAAATGCGTTTCCAAGAAACTATGCAAAATTTACACCTTTTTCCTAAACTTCCTGCAAATTTTTTATTAGGGCGATTGAGAGAGGTGCTTCACTTGAATGTTGAATATGAGGGTGAATAGGCTGTCTGAATCCACCAAATTCGAAAAAGGCCTTATCTGGAAAATTTGACTGGACTTTGCTAATGTACTTTTTGATCCTGCAGTTGGGCATGTCTAGCGCAACTCAAACATTATGTGGGCAAGCATTTGGTGCAAAGCAATACCACATGTTAGGCATTTACTTGCAAAGATCTTGGATCATCAATCTGGTCACTGCGACCATCTTGGTCCCAGTCTATATCTATGCCTCGTCCATTTTCAAGCTTCTCGGTGAAGAAGATGAACTAGCCGAAGCCGCTGGTTACATTGCCCTGTGGTTCATCCCAATCCTCTACTCCTTTGCTTTCAGCTTTACCATCCAAAGCTTCTTGCAGTGCCAGCTCAAGAACACCATCATAGGATGGCTCTCTGCCATCTCGTTTGCAATTCATGTCTTGTTGTCTTGGCTCTTTGTGTATGTACTTGATTGGGGAATCCGAGGAGCAATGGGAGCGTTAATAATATCGAATTGGTCAGTGGTGATTGGTGAGTTTGTGTATATGTTTGGAGGATGGTGCGAAAGTACTTTGAAGGGGTTCACCTGGGCTGCATTCGCCGATTTATGGCCCGTCATAAAGCTTTCGGTATCCTCTGGCATTATGTTGTGGTAAGACTTTCTTTTCTTCGGAATTGAGTTATGCTCCTGAGAAATTCCAGGGGAATGAACACACACACTCAAAGTATCACAAGCGAGAAATTACACAGTTTAAAACCATTTCTCTGGAGTTGGATGGGCGGATTGGAAAAAATTTCTTCATGATTTTTTGTCATTAACGGTGTGGTAAGGCTAGAATTGCCTTAATCACATTCCTAAGGTTTGTTGTTCTATTGTAAGTTGTTCGCCGACTGAAATACCATGACACAACTCTATTGTCTTTGGTGAAGCACTTGCAGACATGATTAGATGCATTCAATGATTATTCATGTCATTTACGCACTCTCCAGTATATCGATCCTCATTCTGATACCATTTTCTTTGTCCTCGATCAAAATAGCTTGGAGTTGTGGTACAATGCTGTTTTAGTCCTCTTGGCAGGATACATGACGAATGCTGCTGTTGCAATATCTGCCTTCTCGATTTGGTATGATGGCATCGAATTAGGCATCTTATGTCTACTACTTTTGATGTCAGTCGCCAGGAAAGTGATGAAACGAATTGATTTTTCTTTTTCAGCCTCAACATCTCGGCTTGGGAGTTAATGGTAGGCCTTGGTTTCCTAGCTGGAGCTAGGTATGGCTTATGAACATGTGCAAATCTTTGAGTTGCTCTGTGCTTGCTTGACGCTATGTGACTCGATCCTTTCAATTCCTACAGTGTGAGGGTTTCCAATGAATTGGGGCAAGGAAATGCGAAAGCGGCGCTGTTTGCCGTTAAAGTCATCCTGGGCACCTCAATTAGCATTGGAGTTGTCTTATGGATCTTGTGCCTAGTTTTCGGTCGACAGATCGCCTACATTTTCACCAGTGAGGAAGACGTTGTGGAAGCTGTTTCAAGACTCTCAGTTCTCCTTGCCTTCTCTATTTTATTTAACAGTGTTCAGCCAGTGCTCTCAGGTACACGGGGGTTGTTCCACTACTCGTCATGCGAATGGCAGACTTAGTTACAGACTCTTTCTTGCTGACCCATCCGTTCGTCCCTTGCAGGCGTGGCGGTAGGTTCCGGGAGACAAAGTACGGTTGCCTATGTTAACATAGTTTCCTATTACGTGATCGGAGTTCCCCTTGGAGTCGTGCTCGCGTATGTTGCCAAGTTAGAAGTTCAGGTGAGAAGGCCTGAACCCTGCTTTTGTTTTTTCGCTAGATACTTGATACTTAACCGTCATTTTGTGTTGCAATTTTGGTTTGATGAGGTGATACTTCACTAATTGGAGAATACCTGGCCAAGATAGCTATGACTCGGTTTCGGACTCTGCTAAAACTCCTTTGTTTGATGACCACAGGGTATGTGGATAGGGATGATAACAGGAGTCGCAACTCAGACAGCGGTGCTCGGTATTATTACTTACAGAACAAACTGGGACGAGCAGGTAAATGCAAATTTTGAACCTTATCAGATTCATGCCTTCACATTACATTTGCTGCAGCAGTTATTTTAGCTGGAAATATCGGCAACTACTCAAGATTCTTGTGTTTTTGTCTCCATTTCGTGATGAAAGATTTTTATAAGCCAATTACAAGATTGCTTTGATTTTATAGGTGAACAAAGCGTCGGAACGGCTCAATAAGTGGCTCTTGAAAAGATCAGAAGACAATGGTGAGAGCTCTGCTACTGAACAAGCGAACGGATGAGCGAAAACTCGAGAGTGTACGGTTTCATCCCAGTTTTGGTTTTCGGATGAGAAGAAGTTGTCTTTGTTCTTTTTTCTTTTTCTTATTTTGGATGATCCAACACCACTCGATTAATAGATCTTTCACACCAATTTATCAGTGACTAGACAAAATTTATAAGTTGAAGATGGAAAAACGTTCATACTTCAGCGACCTTCATCTAGTAGTTCTTGCTGTAACCATTTTTGCACCAACTCAAAAGAAAGCACGCATTGCGGATCATAATTATAATGTGAGAAAGATATAATTCATTCGGCAGCAAATGAATGTTTGCTGGATCCCATAAAAAGGTTTACAAATTAGCACGACCAGACGCAACATCTCTCTAGCATCAACAGAGCCAAGAGCGCGTAGCAGCTGCGGCAGTCCAATCTGAAAACAAAATGCCGAATAACTTTCTTCTGATAGACAACGGGAAGTTTCAGATTTTCTCAGTATTGTACGGAAAACACGCAATTTGGGTCGTGCACTCAACTTCTCTAATAGAAGAAATTGACAGTGTATCCAGGCACGGTACGTGACGTGTTGGAGAAATGATGAAGAAGAAATTATGTATTGGAGCAAGATACGTAACACTATTTGTTATAACCAGAATAAATTCGAAAAAATGATAACAAAAATAAAATAGGAGGTGACGTACAGCCATCCGAATTTCCTTAAAGCAATTAGTTCCTGCAACGGTGCTAAGCAGATTCACGAACTATGTCTCCCAAGACACAACACTTCTAATCCATTTGAATTAGTACTAAGACTCTGTTGAACATTTCTCGAAACCAACACACTTGGAGAACAGCTATTGAAAAAACTAGAGGAGTACTTTCAGGAGTTCTTTTTTTATCTCTTGTTTGAACTAAAAAGACACATATATTTATAAACGACGGCAGAAAACTAAAGGGAGATGAACTCAAGAGTCATGTCGGTTATGCTCACATTATTAGAGTCATTAACTCACAATTAACAGCTATATTAAATTTAGAAATCAAGAGTCACGTCGGTTGTCACGCCCCATACCCCACGAAGCGCGAGCATCCCATCTCCGGTCGTTTGTGATGCAACGCTCCCAGGATGCGTCGCCGACCCAACGCCCAATCAGAGATAAGTCACATGCGGAAACAACGTATATAATTATATATATATACACCCGTACAAAACAACACACGTGAGACCAAGGTAGAACAGCCATCAAACAAGAATATACACTTGTACTGTTATAGTAAAACCTTTTTACACTATCCATTTGTACAACTCCAAAAACCTCAACATCAGTATTTAACTGCCACTATATCAAAAAGGGTAAGTGGCACAGGTGGTTAGGCTAACTAGGATATGAATGCTATTCAAAAGAGACGGTCTTCGCTTCCCGGGTACCGGCCGCTCTAGGGCTCCCAATGGGGTCGAACGACTCGAGAGAATCATCCGGCAACTCCTCGGAGACATCTTTACGGCTGGGGGTCTGAAAAGTTTCGGTTTACACAACCGTGAGACGAATCTCAGTGAGTTCAACCCCTAAACCTAGGCTAGGCTAGCATGCAATCTCCTGACCGGAAACAAATATTTAAATCACAATACAACAATAATCAAACCATTCTCTGACCCTGCAGGTTAGACAGATCAACATATAATAGTCACGGCACGTACGTGGCACACATTATCACACGTACGCCAATCACATGCTCATGCACCGAGTCTCACACACTCGCATGCCAGTCCATGCATGTTCATGCCTGCAAATGTCATCGACATGTCACGCGCATTTCCCCGGCCCACTGGCCCACACTGGCAATCGCCCAATTTATTATTTATTACGACGACTCGAGTCAACAACATTCACGGCCCGGTGCGTCTAGCCTGCTTCAAAGTGCATGAGGCGCAGCAACCGATCTGGCCCAGTGTCTCTAGCCTGCTTCAAAGTGCATGAGGCGCAACACCGATCTCCTTACGAACCAGAGCCTGCTTCAAAGTGCATGAGGATGGTCGTCTTCCGGACGTACCGGGCATCGTCCTGCTTCAAAGTGCATGAGGACGGTATCGACCCGAAGGACATGACCCAAAGGTCCTTACGTGATCCCACAACTCATTATTATCTGAACCCAGCGTATGACGCTTCGGGGTATTTTAGGTGATCACACACTCATGGCAGGCACACATTCTCGCACAATTCCACCACATGCCTCACTCTAGGCATACATAATGCGTGTCCATGTTATGCGATGCAATGCACCATGAGCACCAATGAAATTCAATCACTCAATATCACAACACGTGCTCAATTGGCCCAATTAATACCGTGTGGCCCAACGTGCGATTCACAATTCAATAATTAATTTCAAACCAATCATTGGCTAATTGCACTCCACATAATTTAGCCACACGACATGCGACATGGTAGTACGAAATCAATCCCAATTAAGCACAAATCATGTACAACCAGTCAACCCGGACATACCCGGTAATTTTCCAATGGGCTCCTAAATTGGTCATTTAATCCAATTAATCTCCCCAAATAATTCTCATTAATCCACTAAATTTTTCCAATAATAATTTCTATCAATCAGTCCTCATCCCAGTCTGAAATATACACTGATACTACCTAAGCCAGTCCAAAATGCACCGATAATACCTAAACCAGTCCAGAAAAACGCACTATCAGTCCTAATCCGGGTTGAGGAAATTTACTCACTTAATTTCTGGACCACGGCGACGGGGAACGGCGGCCGATCACTGATGAACAGTGAAACCGGCGGCGGAATTCCCGGGGGGTGCGTACTGTTCACGCGGTACTGTTCATAGCGGTACGGACATGTACGGACGGCGGAAACAGGTGGCCGGCGAGACGGCGGTGACGGCCACGGCCGGCCGCACGGACGGCGGCGTACGGACTGCTACAGTGCCGACCGTACGGACACTGTACGGCCGCCGATGAACAGCGATGCACGTGCTGAGCGGGAGCTGACTACTGGGTGGCAACGGACAGCGATCGGAGCTTGGGCGAAGGCTCCGGCGGCCCTTTTTGCCGGACGGGAAAGAGAGAAAAAGAGGAAGAAAGAGAGAGAAATAGAGAGAGAAAGAGGCCGGACAAGGGTGAGGCTGAGGCTGGGGGCTGAGGTGGTCGGCGGCGAGGCACGGCGGCCGGCGGCGGTGCTCCGGTGACCGGCGGCGAGCTCCGGCAAGCCAAGCCGAGAGAGAAAAATGAGAGAAAAAGAGGGAGAAGCTGCTGGTGGGGGCTGATCTGTGGTGCTTCTGCCGAATGAGGGGGAGAGGAGAGAGAAAGAGTGGTCAGCTGGTCAAATAAGTCAGCCCACAAGTGCCACGTGTCGCCAATCCAACGGTTCGGACCAAAATGCCCCTAATCTAACGGTTCTAAACAAATCCTATCCAATAATTGAGGGGCAAAATGGTCTTTTGGTCCAATAATGCAGCTGATAAGCACTCTTAAATATCCCAAATAATTTCCCAAAAATTCGGACCCGAACATAGCTTAGGGGCAAAATGGTCATTTTTCCGGTCCCGGGGCGAAATTCCAATTTTCGCCCGTACCAACCCTCCACGTGCGTGGCCAATATAATATGGCGTCGGAATCGCGAAATTCACTTTCTAAGCCCTCGAAAATCGACTGCGAAGTTCCGGGAATAAAATAATATTATTTTTTTATTTTTTGTCGAAATTCCAATTTTTGGCCATAACGACTCCTGGTATGCGTGGCCACCCAAAAATGACGTCGGCCTCGAAAAATAACCTCATTTGGCCTCGAAAAGCAACGCTGGCGTCCCGAGGGGCAAAATCGTAATTTTTCACCCCCTGACCGAAATTCCAATTTTCAACTGTATTAACTCAAAATATGCGTGGCCAGCATAATATGACGTCAGATTTCCAAGAATAGTCTCTTAAGCCATCGAAATTCGACATCGAAATCCGGGCCCAATTTCGTGATCAAAACTCGCTCGATTTAGAATTTCAGGGTCTCTCACTAACGGGCGGCTGTCTAGAGGTTACGCGTATCGACCTAGGGTTATCCGAGTCATGACGGTCCTGATCATTGAGAGAATGAGAAATTATCACTAGTTCCAGAGGTCACGATCGTCCGATTTAAGTTCAGGACTGGTTGACCACGTGTACTCTCGGTCGTGCAGAATCACCTGCGATCCGATTGTACATCGTTGGCCTTGGCCAAACCAAGTCCGTTACCTTTCCTAAGATCGATCCACATTGGTTCATAATATTCTCTCATCATTTCTCGTGATCGGTGTCCGCTTCGCGATCGGGTCCTTGGTCCACGTACCGCTTCTAATTAGCCATACCCTATTGGTTAGTATCCCGAGAGTGATCAGCTCTGGGCGAGACTTACTAAAATGAAATGCGAAATATTGTCAATTTTATTGATCCCGGAATTACATCGAAATTCAGGCTGTTACAACTTTTCCCCCCTTACAAAAATTTCGCCCTCGAAATTTGTAGTCTACACTTACTCCTCAAACAAGTGGGGGTGTTGATGTCGCATGGCCTCTTCGCTTTCCCAGGTGGCACCTTCCGTTCCGTGGTGCTCCCATACAACTTTGACCATTGGGATCGTCTTATTCCTTAGCACACGGTCTTTCCGATCTTCGATCCTGACTGGTCTTTCCACGTACGACACCTTGTCGTCCACGTCTATCTCCTCATATCTTAGAACGTGAGTCGGATCTGGTTCATACTTTCTTAACATCGACACGTGGAAAACATTGTGTACTAAGGACAGGTTAGGTGGTAAGGCAAGTCGGTAAGCCATATCTCCAATCTTTTCCAAAATCTCAAATGGCCCGACATACCTAGGACTCAGTTTTCCCTTCTTGCCGAATCTAGATAACCCTTTCATTGGCGACACCTTGATAAATACATGTTCTCCCACCTGAAACTCTAAGGGTCGTCGTCTCCGATCGGCGTAACTCTTTCGGCGACTCTGCGCTGTTCTCAATCTATCTCGAATGATTTCCACAGCTTCAACTGACTGCTGTACTAACTCTGGGCCTGTGATACTTCGCTCACCAACTTCATCCCAGCACAGGGGCGTCCTACACGCCCTACCATATAAGGCTTCAAACGGTGCCATCTGAATGTTCTGCTGATAGCTGTTATTGTAGGCAAATTTCACTAAATGCAGCTGTTCCTCCCATTTG